TTTTTAAAAGAGGAAATCTCAGTAAAAGCAGATCAACAGAAAATTTAAAAAATACATTTTAAGATAACATTTTGTGAAACATTTTTTCCAGGTATGTAAAGGGATTTGTGAAACAGGGAGACTGTAGACAACAAGAATTCAGGGATCGATCTGGAAATTGTGTTCTCTGCAAGCAATGTGGACCAGGCATGGAGTTATCTAAGGTAGACATTGGTTGCATGGTAAAGTTGTAGTTTGTGTGTCTTTTTTAGCTAAATTAGTAATTACTAGTAAATTAGTAATTACTTTTGAAGATGTTATTAGTTGTAGAGAATTGATATATGGTTTTGTTCTAAATAAAGCATCAAACTCTTCCAGTTAGGAACAAAAGATGACTTGGTTCAGTGTGTTACTTTAGCCAAATATTACACAATTTCCTTTTCAATATTTTTTTATTCTAACCTTTTCTTTTAATTTTTAAAATTTTTTTTATTTTATGTATTTTTTACATTATTTTTCATTTTTGCACAATGTATGCATTTTCATCTTGGTTATAGTCCCTGTACAATTCCCACCACCCTTGTTTTGATCCTACTCCCTTCTCCCCTCCTCCCCTATATAAACATTTTCAATATTTTTGATTCATGTGTCTAAGATAAAAGGAATAGAGTCCAAGAATCAGAATTCAATAATGTCCTTGTGTTATGGAACAGTGTTTATCATATTTCAATGCAAGAAGTATTAAGGTTTATTTGCATTAATAAAAGTAAGCAATGTTCTCTTGAACATTTTGAAATAAAGTACTGAAACAGAAAATGGTAATGTTATCATTTATTGGGACTTCTTTTTCTTTAAGCGAATATTAGCATTGACTAAGAGGTAGAGGTCAACAGCATCTTAAGTAAACTGCTCCAAGGTAACCATTTTTTTTTCAGTGTTTTGAACATTCCTTTGATAATGCACGTGTTATTATTAATCTCCCCATGATGAGTGTATGTTACTCCCAGAAGCATTTTAAATGGTTAATATTCATTTTAACCATTATTTGTTGAGAAACTGTGCATTCTAGTAGGGCATTTCAGAATCTTGGATGTCTGGGGGGTGTTTTTTTCTGTGAGCATGTTGAGCTATATATTCATTTTTTTCTGACCTTTTGAAGATGTTATTAGTTGTAGAGAAATGATATTTGGTTTTGGTCAAAATAAAGCATCAAAGTCTTCCATTTAGAAAGGAACAAAAGATTATTTTAATTTAAAGTGACTTAAAAGTCTTTTTCCTCTACAGACTGCCATTATTTAAAGTTGAGTCTTGTCATTCATAGATTTTTGATCAATGACCTATAAAACAGCAGGAAACAAATAATTATGCATTCCACAAGTAATTCAGGGTGAATGGCCTTTCTCTGGTTGTTGTGTTAATAAGGGGTAGCCTTAGTATCCTGTGCTTTAACTTTGGATTAAAGCTTGACTGATCTTTGAACTCTGTTTGGTGTCTAGTTAATGGTAGCATCTCAGCTGATATTTTGAGTCCCTGTTGACTGTCTAACATGCATTATCACACATAGGTTTTGCTTATTTGAGTGTAAAGGATCCTTTTTAGCAGATGTGCACATCTAGGGTCAGTGAACAGAGTAGTAAAAATGTGATAGTGCCCAAAAGGAAAATAAAGAATGGTGCTACTACTCAAAAGTATTTTCCCCAATTTCTGTGATAATCTGATAGAAACTTCCCAGTTTCTGAGATGAGTCATTCACTGCTAAGATATCACCCCTGAATTTCATCCTTTGAGTCTAGAGAATATAACCTCAAGATAATTTCTGGAGAATCAGAGCAGAAGATAAATGTCTTATCAACTCTAACATTCTTTTTTTTTTTAGAAATCTATCTTTGAGATATATCTGATAACAGTTTCTATATTTCATAATTTCCCATGAATATCCAGAAGAAATATTTTTTTTTGAGGTAGCAACTTTCTAAGTATTTTGTCCTATTATAGTGGAAGTGACCAATCAAGCAATCTGAATAATTCTACCTTTCTGTACTTTTTTTATTTATTAAATTTCTATTTCAATATTTATTACCATTTTCTTCATGAAAAGAAAAGAACCAGGACAAATTGAGGAAGTGTAAGAATACAGGTAAATGTAAACTGAAAAATTATATTCTTAAGACACACTCAGAGGTACAAATGGCAGAAATGTACATGCCATGTTCAAGTAATTATACTTTGAGGTAAGAAATTTCAAAACTGCCCATCTTGAATTTATAGTTTCTTCCTTCTAGACCATCTTTGTTAAGTCTTTATCAATATCACATAACTTTCATAGGTGAGAAAAGTAAGTTCTGACTATATTGAAATCAGACAAATCACTTATAATAATACCTCCAATTGGTTAATTATGATTTCCAAGCTTTTCAAATCAAAGGGAAATTGTTTTGTTTTGTTTTGTTTTTGACTAGGATGAAAGCTTTTTATAAAAAAAGTCAGAAAAATAGGCCTCCCCGGTGGCGCAGCGGTTGAGCGCTGGATTGCGAAGCTCCCCACAGCCTCTGCAGCGCCGGTTCGATCCCCGGCTGCTCCCCGGCCACCGGATGAGGTTCCCACATGGTGCCGCACCTCTCCTGCCACCCGCTGCTCCCCTCAGCAGTGTACTTCGGTCCTTCTGCCTGCTCTGCTCCCCGCTCTGGCTCTGGTGAATTCTCTCACCCTCCCGTGCTTCTAACTGTACCCAGTGGTTGTATAAATAAATAAATAAATCTTAATTAATAAATAAATAACTCATGCCCATATATTAAAAAAAAAGAGAAATATATAAATAATTGCATTTTACTTGGATTACTATCTATACAGTCTAAAAGCAGGATAATTTGTAATGTTAATTATAAATGAAACTTAAAATCAGCTGAGTAAATTTTTAAAATCTTACTCACTTTACCATGATTAGGCAATAGCCCATCTATCACATAGAAAGGAACTCCAAGAAACATTACAAATTGAATGATTTTATAGGCTGAAGGGAGAAGGAACAAGGAAGCTACACTAGCAAAGTGTACGTTGGTCATATCAAAGACATATCACTGATCAGCAGAGTCCTGATTGACTGGCTTACAACTCCATTACTAGGAGAGCCAGAACTATAATTAAGTCACACTTTGGTCATGGAACTTAGTATAAGTGACTCCCTATTGGACCTGTTGTCTTGTTTTTAAGAAAATGAATGAGTCCAAGAGCCTTTTCCTTTTTAACTGAGGCTTACCATTGTGGTTACCTGTGGCATTTGACAATTTAAAAGCACAATAAACAGTAAATATTTTTAAAGGCAGTTATGAAAAAGTAGAAAGCTGAATCAAATTACTGATACCCACAGCAAAGGGCTTTGTATTTTCTTTGCATTAAGGGTAAAAAACAAAGTACATTTCGCCAGACAGAAGAGCTTTCAAATAACCTTTGTTCTAACACTATGATATCACTTGTTTTGCTGTGTTAAGCATAATTTAAAACTTGCATCCATTTTCTAATATCTTGTCTCTCTAAAATAACAAACTCGGGTCATAAGTTCTTTAATTACAAACATGTATCTGTGTCTTAAAAATAAATCTCGGAAATACTTTGGGTAAGCAGGTGTAGTTAAATTTCCATCTGTGGTTTTATTACTCCTAATTATTATTTTCTTTGGAAGACATTCAATTCTACTTTTTCTCAAGGTGTCTGGACTTACTTGCCCATTGTTCGGTCTCTACCATTTAAAACATGTAGTTGGGGTTTGCCAGAAGCTTCCAGAATAGCATTCCTGGAGATTGTGTGTGTTTTGGCACCCCTGTGGTGTGTGATCAGTGGTTCTCGCTCTCTCCCTCTGTTTCTCTGTCTCTCAACACATACACACACATACACACACACACTCAATGTCCTTTTACTTCCTTTCAATTACTAGATAGTAAGAAGTTTGCACAGAATCTAAACCATAGATCTGAGGTATACAACAAGGGAGGGACTGGGGTCCAACCAGGGGAGCAATGATCACAATTGGACTATGGTGATGGGCCATGGGTGCTTGTGGTGGTGGGACAATTATGGGGACTACACCTGCCTGAGGGGAGAGATTTAACACTGTACAAAAATGAATGGTGTAAGAGAATTAAACACAACAAAAAAAGAAATCTATACAGAAACTCAAATTGTAATACCATTGTGGCTTATTTAATTGACTCCCTTCCCTTCTCTGGCCACTTTTTAAATGGTTATTTATTTTAACCTTTCACCTTGAATATGTTGAGTTATGTTCATCACAACATAGCAAATGTGTATTGCTCCCAAATAGGTCTTCAATTATTATTCTGTAATACATATTTTGCAACTAAAACAGTTAATATTAGCTAACATTTACTACTATAATAAGCCAGGTTCCCTATGACTTTCATATATTAATATAAAGGAATGCCTGTGATAATATATTTTAAATAGGGAATAGAACTACTCTTTTTTTTTAGGATTTATTTATTTTTTAAAGATTTATTTATTCATACAAGCACTGGGTACAGTCAGAAGCACGGGAGGGTGAGAGAATTCACCAGAGCCAGAGCGGAGAGCAGAACAGGCAGCATGACTAAGTACACTGCTGAGGGGAGCAGCCATGTGGGACCCTTGCCCGGTGGCCGGAATCGAACTGGTGCTGCTGAGGCTGCATGCAGCTTCGCAGCCCAGCGCTCAACCGCTGCGCCACCAGGGGAGGCCCCTAGAACTCCTCTATTGTAGGGTGGGGAAACTGAGGCACAGAGAATTAGTTGATCTGTCCAGTGTCACAATTAGTATGTGACAGTGCTGGGAGAAAGTGATGGAATGACTTGTGAATAATGATCTATTCTTATGTTGATAGCACTCTAGTACAGTGTTGTCCCACAGAACTGTCTGTGATGATAGAAATGTCTATATTGGTGCTGACAATAAGCAAGCTACTAGGCACTGTTGTTATCAAAGACTTGAAATGTGGCTGGTGTCATAAGGAACTAGAGTTTTAATTTATGCCGTTTTACTTAATTAAATTTATTACCACCACAAAAGATTATGAATGTTCTATTTGGACAGTGAAACTCTGGAATGATGAATTTCTGGAAATTCTGGCTTAGACCCACTTCCAAAAAAATAAATATCCAAGTCATGTTGCCCTAATGTACTTGCAGCACAGGAGCTGCCTCCCTGTTCAGTTTGCTTGCTCTCCTTCCTCCTC